GGTTGTTAACCAATGTCATAAAACAGCATGTATGTTACTGTTACATGAGAAACTATCTGTTCTGTAAGCCTTCACCTGAAGTACAATAAAATATTAAAAAAAAAAAAAAATGAACTGTGGAAGATGAAAACAAAACTTAAAGATTTGGAAATTCTGTTGTACAAGCTAAGGACATGTGTCCTAGAATTTTCACCAAGGACGTGGTTACACAAACTTTTGTTAAAGAAGTTAAGCCTGTGACTGATGGATTTAACCAACTACCATAGCAGAAAATTCATCAGCTTAGACGGAAGGGGACAGAGAAAGAGCGAAAGGAAAGAACATTGCCTGCCTCTTGGAATTCTACGGTCAGGAAACAGGCCAAAGGAACATCATCTGTTGTCCTCCAAGAAAAGAAAAAGACCTTTCCTTGAGCAGCTCAGAGATCAGCAGAACTATTGGAAGAAGCATGGGAAGTGGAGCTGCCTTGGTCTCAAAGTCTGTAGCTATGGCCTCTGGGGTTTCAAAAGGTGGGGCCATGGTCTCCTGGATCTTAAAGAGTGGAGCCACAGCCTCCTAGGTTTCAAAGAGTCTGATCTTCATCTGCTCCATTCCAGAGTGTGGGGCTGCCATTAAGGTGTGCCAGGGGGATGGGCCCAAAGCAGAGGGGGCTGGGCTACCATGCCCAAGGGGCAGAAGAATGGGGCTTGCCAGGGCCGAGGGCGTGGGGTTGCCACTTGGTAGACTAGGAGAATGAGGGTGCCCAAAGCTGAGGGAGCAGAGTTGCTGTCTCAGTGGTCCTGGAAGGCAGAGCTGAAGCCCAGGGCCAAGTGGCCTCCACCCAGAATCCAGAGAGCGTGGCTAACTCCCAGAGTCTGAGGGCAGGGCCATTGCCTAGATGGTCTCTGAGAACAGAGGGTTATTTTCAAGCCTTGAAAGCTAATGTAAATTGTTCTGCTGGGTTTTGGACTTGCTTGGTGCCTGTTACTCCTTCTTTCTCTCCAGTTTCTCCCATTTGTAATGGAAATGTCTACCTTTTGCTGTTCTACCATTGTACTTTGGAAGCAGATAACTTGTATTCTAGATTTCACAGGTTCACAGATGAAGAGGAATTTTCCCCCAGGATGAAATATGCCTGAAGTCTTACCCATATTTGATTTAGATGCTTCAGAAGATGACATTTTGGTCTTTGAGTTGATTTAAGACTTTTGAGGTGATGTGATGGGGTGAATGTGTTTTACATGTGGCAAGGATGTGAATTTTTGGTGGCTGCAGCGTGGAATGTCATGGATTGAATTATGTCCCCATAAAATACGTGTCAGTTTGGCTAGGCCATGATTCCCGGTATTGTGTGATTTTCTTGCATTTTGTGATCTGATGTAACTATCCTCCATTTTGTGATGTGTTGTAGATCCTAACCTCTATATGTTGATGCGGCAGGATTAGTATGAGGTGTATCTTGAGTCATCACCCTTACTTGTGTCACCCTTTATTCAAGTCACCATCCTTACTCAAGCCACACCCTTGCTTGAATCACACCTTTTATCTTATGAGAGATAAAAGAAGAAAGAAGCAAGCGGAGAAGGAGAGGGACCTCACTATCACCAAGAAAGAAGAGCTTGAAGTGGAGCCCATCTTTTCTACCTGGGATCCCTGTGCCGAGAACCTCCTAGACCCAGGGGAAAATCGATGCCAAGACACATAGAGATTTCCTAGGAACATTGGGCCCACAGATGTTGAAAGGAGACAGTGACCTTCCCCTAGAGCTGACAGA